AGTTGCGACAAGATATTTAAAATAATAGGCGAAACATACTTGAGTATGACGAAATCTACCAGCCTCGCTAATATCCACATAGGCTAAGACACGTCTATGAAGTTCGAGGATATCGCCAATTCCGAGAGGGCGTGAAGGACCGCGCAAGAGAGTCGTATTAAGAAATCGAAGAGCAAGATCGAGGCCAAGGATCTAAATTTACAAATATAATAAGATAATAATGCAAGGCCATAAGATTGAAAGTTATGTTAAAAGCCAAAAATCATATGTAAGAGACTTCTGAGTCAAGGCATTTTTCTCATAAAATGTGCCTTACCATATAAAAGCAAAAAAGAAAAGCATAAATTAAATAGGGTTAAATATTCTATGAACATAATCCTGGTGTATTTGTTTTAAAAATACGAACCTCATTCTGCTCTATAATGCTTTTACCACCAACAGCCAATCGTGTTTCGAGCAAAGATCGAGTTTGAGCAAGGCTCAATGTGTTCCCTTCAATTGCACTAGAATGATAGATATGACGAAAATAGTGATCGAGCTTGGCTTGACGCAAACCGGGATTTGTTTCTGGAATTTTGTAGAACTGAGCCATTTTCATGTCAATTAGATTAAACCTGGATTAAATTAATAGCATAAATGAGGGGTGAGCAGTAGAAGCTAAAAACAAGAATGGACACAAACCTGTGTTGATCAATTTTTTCAATTAAAGGCAGTGTACGGCGACGGTTAATGAGAGCTCTCGTATTTACAGGATCAAGTGTTAGCGCCATTCCATACATGTGGTCGGCAGAAGAAATGAGCTTATTTAGCATAGGATTGAAGTCAGAATATGTTCGGACAGCCGAAACAGGATGAGTCGCGAAATTCCTACTATTTAATTCAGTAGTACTTGAAGAATCGTCTAATTTTATATGATAACGCCACTTTTCCTCAAGGACCTGACCCAATTCGACATAAATATCTGCATTATTTGGATCAAGGCGGACTGCATGCTCAAGAAGTTTTAAGGCCTTGGAAATATGCCCTGAAGCACGATGTCCAATAGCACTCTTGAGAGAATTCTCTGCCTCTCTTCTAAGATCTGAAAGCCTTTATTTTTAAATGCAATTACTATGGGGTGTTTGGTGATCCTTTTTGTGTGGATAAGGCAATCGCGAATTCATTGGATGACGATGAATTTTTATAACTTCAGATATAAAGTAGCTATACCCAGCCTCCCTATCATCATCAAGAATCTGGATGGTCGGAAGTAATATTCCTTTGCTTTTTTTGTCTGAATAGAAGAAAATATTCGCCAGATGAAAAGCAGTTGTTGATCTTACAGCATTGGCAAGATTAAAACTCGCGGCTTTGTGATCAACAAATTCAAAAATTGATTCCCAAAGGTCAAATGGCGTTATGCATATAATAAAAAGAGATGTGATGCACGCATAGATTCGTAATTTATAGGAAGGCATAGCAGAAATGAGAAACGCCAAAAGAAGTTTAAAGGAGCCGCACAAATGTAATCGCAAACAGTTCATAGGTTAGCAACACCAAATAAAACTTGTAATTTCTGTTAACAAGTTACAATTTAGAAAGTTTTTTGAAATTAAAATTAAAATATAGCACTTATTGCTTATACGTATAATCGCAAATCTCTTAATTAGATTAAGGTGCTATTTTTCTG